GCTCAGACGACAGATACTTATCATCTCTCGGTTCTGGAGCCTGAGGTCCAAGATCTAGGTGTTAGCTGGGGCATCCCCTTGGCTTGTAGAAGGCTGTCTCCTAAGTCTTCTTATAGTTGTCTTTCTCCCCATCTGTGTCCAAATTTCCTCTTCTTGCAAGGATACCAGACAGGTTGGATTAGGGCCCACCCTAATAACCTCATTTTACCTTAAATACCTCTTTAAAGACCCCACCTCTAAATACAGCTACATGCCAAGCCACTAGGACTTAGAACTTCAGTCTGCCAATTTTGGAGAACACAGTTCAGCCCACAACACAGGCCAAAGGCCAGCAGTGCAGAGAGCAAGTCTGGCCTCTTGGCAGCCCCAAATGAAGGCTGGTATGGATGGAGCCTGGGAGGGAGGAGGGAGGTGAGTCTGGAGAGGGAGGCAGAAAAGAGGAGACCTCAGTGAGGGTGCAGTTTGGGTTTAGGGGAGTTAACAGGCACATAATACAGGCAGTTAGTGCTTTGGGAAGGTTTCTGGCTGCTGGTAGGTGGTGGGTTCTGCTGGGGCAAGAGGGGACAGTGGCCAATTAGGAAGTTGTGGAAATAGTGCTGGACTGTTTGGTGATGGCCTGGACTCTAGCTGCAAGTGTGCCCAGGGGAGAGGAGGCCAGATCTGGGGATATTTAGAAGGCAGAGCTGACAGGACTTCATAGTGGATTGGAGGAAGGATTATGTGGGAACCAGGACTCGGAGTGGGCTCTGGGGTTGTGGGGCCTGGGCCGGTGGAGCCAAGAAGTGGGAAGGCTAGAAGTGAGAGGGTGGAGTCAGAGGTCTGTTTTTGCCTACTGGACATCTGGATGGAGATGTGCGTATGGAACCTGGGTTCTGGGCAGTGGTGCAGGATAGGGGATCCACTTTGAGGTCAGTGGCACATAGATTACAGTTGAAGCCACAGCTCTGGATGAGCTCCTGGCAGGAGGCAGAAAAGTGGGCTGAGGACTGAGCTCTGGAGCACTGTAGTATCCAGACCACTGTGAAAGGCTGAGGCAGCAGCCACTATGATGTCCACAGGGCCCCAAAGGAAAGTGTTGCAGCTGAGTGAATGCTGTGGGGTGGTGTGAGATGAAGACATCTATCTCCCCAAGAGCTGTGTCAGGGGAGCAATGGATCCGATGGCCTAGTTGGATTAGGCTGAAGGGGGGTGGAGAGGCAAGATGCTGGAAATAATGGGCAGGAATAGGGGTATAACTGGGTCAGAGAGGGGATTTCTTTATTGTAATTGTTTTTGCCAGTCAGCATAATCCCCTATTAAGGGAGAAATTGATGATGCATTAAAGAAAGAAAGTGTTTACCAGAGTAAAATCCTGGAGGTGAGAAGGGGGCTGAGCAGGTGGTGGTTGGTGCCCTTGTGGTGGGGAGGTGGGTGCCTGGGCTGGCGGGCAGGCATGGGCTGGCGTGGGCTCTGACCTTGCTAGGAATGACAGGGTGCTGAGGTCCCTGCGATGGAGGGGCAAGAACAGGAGATTGACTTCTGAGGCGGGAGGTATAGTGGGAAGGAAAGACTTTGGAAGCAGCGAGCAGCAGCCCTGGGGCCCATGGAGCAGGGAACAGGGAAGGGTGGTATCAGGGAAGTTAACAGGCCTTTGTGGCTGTCAGCCCAGAGGGCCCAGCTGGGGGAGATGGAGACAGATTAGGGCATGTGCAGGCCACTTGAGGTTGGTCTCAGAAGCCCGAGGGAGCAAATGGCTTGAGAAGCCTGAAGCAGATGGGGTAGAGGAGTGTGGGGTGAGGGCAGGGTGCTCACCTGCCATGTTGCAGGAGCCTGAAGAATAGGGACTTTGTTCTAGGTATGACAAGTGCCTGGATGAGGGGCAGAGAGGGAGAACATAACTGGGGTTACAAGTTTGGGAGGAGGTGAGGTCACCTCTAAAGTGACCCCTGGCAGGGGGAGAAGTAGGCAAAGGGGCACTGGGTGCCTCCTTGCATAGGCTGAGTTGTGGGGCATCTATGTAGGGGTGACCACAATGGGGCTGTGGAGAGAAAGGAGGTGGAGCCAGTAGGGCCAGGTAGCTTCAAGGGCCCTGGTGTATGGTGTCTCCTCTCCCCTGTAGCCAAGGCCCAGGAGGTCCTCCAAGCCATCCGCGGCTACGTTCGCTTCTTTTTCGGCTGCCGAGACTGCGCTGCCCACTTTGAGCAGATGGCTGTTGACTCCATGGACCGGGTGGGCAGTCTGAATGATGCCGTCCTCTGGTTTTGGTCTAGCCACAACAGGGTCAATGCTCGCCTTGCAGGTAAGGAAAGGCCGTCTTCAAGGCTGGAGTCACCTAGGGGAGGAGGGGGGTGAGGGAACATTGGGGTCTAGGTCCAGGGGTGGGAGAAGGGATACTTTCTTCTTAGTGATACCCCATCCCTGCTAACTATTGCTGGTACCATTAGACCCTTTATCTAGGTGAGGAAACCAATACCCTTTCACCCACATGGGGCCAGGGTCCCTCTCCTGCTCTGCTTCCTGGCTGTTGACCCCTTACTCAAACCAATAGAGAGGAGAGAGCTGAGGTTTCCCTCCCTGGGAAGGGTCTAATGATAGATGTGCTGGAAAAGAGGACCAGGGTCCTCTTGGAAATACCAGGGACCAATTTCCCCAATGGGAGGTACTGTCTTCTGCTTTTCTCTCATTTACAGTGCTTCCCCCTGCCACACACACACTCAGGACTCTGATGGGCTCAACAGGCAAAAGCATTGAACTCCAGGGACAGCAGGGTGGGGAGGGAGCCATCTGTAGACAGGAGGGGCTTGTCTGAGGGGAGGGGGTGCAGGCGGCTGTGACAGCCTTCCCAGGGGTAGGGGTGGGCGGGCCGAGGTTAAAGGAGCTGAACGGAGCAGGTGGTGGTGCAAGCTGCACTTGGTCCTGGTCTCCTGGGTCCTGTGGACTTTGAAAAGAAGACACGTGCCTGCCTTCTCCTCCCTCCCTACCCAGCCCTCCCCTCCTGCCAGTGCCACCAAATGCTCCATTTGACCCTCCAGCCCTGTGACCTCTGCAACTCCCAGCTGCCGCAGCAGGGCCAGGAGCTGGGGCCTCTCTCCCAGGGCCAAAAGCAAGGCAGTGCCTCACTGTCCCTGGTGGGGTCCCTTCAGAGCAAACTAATAATTAGCAGGTGCTGAGCGCTCACTGTGAGAGGCCTGAGCTTTGGAATCTACTTGTTGCCCACTCCCCCAAATAACCATTCTGACTCCAGTGTCCCTGCTGCTGCTTCCTTGGGGTCAGCGTCATTTCTCCCTGTTAAGACCCTCCTTTAAGACCTTTAGAAGAGGGGATCCTGGCTGGTGTACCCTGGGACTGGCCTGGGGCTCTGCCTAGATTGCTGGTCCTGGCACTGGGGCCTCTCCTGTGCTCCCAGGCCTCCCCACACCCGCTCCTTGGGGCCTGGCCTACTTCCTACCTGCCTTGGTGGGCTGCAGGTGCTTGGGGAGAGCACCTGTGGAATTACCCTGCACAGCCAGCACTTGTTTTAAAAAACATTTTCCCTTTAATTAACAAAAGTAATATATTTTCACTGTATGAAATTCAGAAAATTTCAGAAAAATTAAAAAAAAAAAAAAACCCACTAGCAGACCATCCAGAGACAGCAAGCAGACCATCCTGTGTCTCCTTGCCTTTTCCTGTGTCTGGTCCCAGGGTACAAATTGCTGGTAAAGTCAGCAAAGGGGGACACTGGGAAGGAGCCAGTCACACTTCCCTGGGAAACTGCAGCGTGCTGGGGGCTGTGGGTGGCTAGAATTCTTCTCAGCCTTTTCTTAATGCTGCCATCTCTCGAGCCCCCATCATGGGCTGGTCTTTTAGTCTGTGCTTTCTCACGTCCACAGGTGCCCCCAGTGAAGACCCTCAGTTCCCCAAGGTGCAGTGGCCGCCCATCGAACTCTGCTCTGCCTGCCATAATGAGCTGCATGGTGTCCCTGTGTGGGACGTGGCCGCCACCCTCAGGTTCCTCAAGGCCCACTTCTCCCCAAGCAACATCGTGCTGAATGCCCCTCCAGCAAGGTTGGCGCCCCGGAGCAGCACGCAGAATGTGACAGCTGCCCCAGAGCTGCTGATGGAAGCCCTAAAGCTGAAAAGTGGGAATTCACCTCTGGACCCTGAGGAGGCTGAGGTAGTCAGATTCCTGGGAGTCACTGTCCCAGATGTTCTAGCAGAGAAACCTGAGGCAAGCCACTCCATGGAGCTGCATGCCAGCCCAAAGCCCATACCGGCAGAGCCCCAGAGGGGGCCCCCTGAGCCCGTGGCAGGGCCTCAGGGGGGTGAGGTGGGGCAGCAGCAGAGGCTGCGGCATCTGAGCAAACGAGACTCAGGGGCTGCGTTACTCGCCAAGCCCTGGGCTGAGAAGAACCACCCCAGGGGCCCTTTAGGGCTCAGACACATAGGCCACAGCTCCAAGCAACTGGCAGATGACCCTGCTGGGGAGTTGGAGGCCCAAGCCCGGAGGGGCCGTGGCCAGTGGCTACAGGTTCTGGGGGGGAGCTTCTCCCACCTGGACATCAGCCTCTTAGTAGGGCTCTACTCTCTGTCCTTTATGGGCCTGCTGGCTGTGTACACCTACTTCCGGGCCAAGGTGAGGGCTCTGAAGGCCCACGCTGGCCACCCTGCAGCCTGAAGTGCCCACCTTGGGAGGGACTCAGAGCAGAAGCTACCATCCATGGAGCTCTTTTAGACCCTGCTCTGCCCTCCCCTCCTATCCCCTGCTCCTGTCCAACCTAGCAGAGTGGGAAGTCCAGGAAGACCATTTGGTCCAGTGAACCCTCTTAGGTCTGCTGGGAGGGAGAGTCCCACAGACAGAAAAGAGAGGTTTATCTGACAGCACTGAGAAGCTGCCGTGGGCAGTGAGCGTAGAGAGCCTCAGTTGCTGGCCCTGGCACCAAATCCCTATTTTTCAGCTTATTTGAAGTCTTGCCCCATCCTCACTGGAGGCTCAATCTCTCCTGCTTGTTCTTTGCCCTAAATTGGGCCAAGTGAAGCCAGAGGAGGGTCTTCTAGGCTGGGTAGGCTGGAGTAGAAGTCCTTACCCCATTCCAGGCCACCATCCATCCTGCTGCCTTCTGGACACAGAGGCCTTGGCACCAAAGAAAGACAGACCACCTCTGGCTCTCTATGATCTGCCCAGCCTCTAGTTCCACAGACCTCCCTGATGGATGGGGGGTGGGGTGGGGGAGTCTGGAAGCTTCTGGAAATCATGCTGATCTCCCAGGTGGCAGGTAACAGTTGCCAGGCAGTTGTGGGGTGAGTGGCTTGGCAGGACCCAGGCAGGTGTTGCAGGGAATGATGCTGGGCTCAGCTCTGAGAAGTGGAGGGAGACAGAAGGAAGGGGTGGTTATGTTGAATGTGCTTTGGCTTCTCCCACTAAGCTCTGCCCTCTCCGCGCTGGTCTTTCCTCTTTTTATTTTGGTCTCCAAAGTAGATGCTGGGTGCTGAGCTGAAGATAAGATAGCAAGGTGGGTGTCGTCCTTTCCCAGGTCCCACCTCCCAGTGCACAGAGGTTAGGAGGGCCAGGGGAGGGCAGCGCTATACACATGCTTGATTCCCACTCTACCCCACTGCTTGGGAGCCTTGTGGAATAAATTATTTTTGCTAAGGCAAGCATCGGTGTGTTCTTGCTACTTGGAGACGTAGTGTCCAGGTCTGGACAGAATGCACAGAGACCAGCCCTGCCTGGGCTTCACCCACACACAACTTCCCAGCGCAGGCAGTTCCTGGCCTAGGGAGAAGGCATCCTCCCTGCTGTTCCCAGAGCTCTCTGTACCCCAAGTCCCTGTAGTCCCCTTGTGCATAGGGGACAGGTCTCTGTGGAGATGGAGCCTCTCCTGCCTCCTGCTCTCCCACCCTCCCTGGAGCACCTGCCTCAGTGCCCAAGTCTGCTTGGGAGCCTGTTTCCGCCTGCCGCCCCCTCGGCTGGGTATCCTGAGGAGGGTTGTTTGTCAGAGCCTTCTGGGGCTGGCTGCTCCACGGGGAGGAGTCAGCCAGGATTAGAGAGCCTGCCCCTAATCTGGCCTGCTGGGTTTTACAAGGATCAGAGCAGCTGATAATGAACCTCATTAAGGGGGAACAGGAGCCTCAATCCGATTTGGGGGTCCCTCTTTGATGTCTTCACTCTGCTCAGATGGCCTGGGCACTGGGTGGAGCAGGTGGGGTGCCAAGGACCCTCCCACTAAGGGGCAGCTGGGATGGGGGCAATGGGGGTCAGCCTTCCCCTGGGTCCTGCATGTTCCATTGACCTCTTTAGCTGCCGCTCCTTAGGGTAGACTCCAGCCTGGAGGCCCCTCATTGCTGCAGGCTCCCTCTCTGTGCCCCAGTCAGGCATCTGTCTGATCCCTGGGACCCCCCCACCCCAGCTGGATATGCTGTCCTCCCCCTGCTCCCCCTGGCCCTGGCTGGGGCCTAACAGGCTGACAGGAGCCCACAGTCTGGAGGCAACCCTGGCCTGAGAGAGAATGAGAGAGGCCGCAAAACCACTGCTGTGCCCGCCAGACCAAAGCCACTGCCAGGCTTCCCACACACAGTCAAGAGTAGAGAATTTTCTTCAGCAAGCCCTGTGGCTCCCTTGACCACATATCCTAAAAACAAACTGAGGTATTTAGAATTAGGGCTATGTTGGAGCTGTTTTCAGAGGCAGCCTAGGCTCCAGTGTGCACCCACAGTGCCTGGGATGGCAAGCAGGGCCTCACTCAGGGACGTTCAGTGGTTGTGGGTTTCCCTCCTCACAGCTGTCTCTGGCAGCCAAGCCTCTTTTTGCCTTGTCCCAGCCCCTCTGATTGATAAATGGGTGGGCCTCCTCAGCAGGACCGCTGCCTTTCACCTTGATTTCCCCAGGGCTCTGGTCAGCAGCACCGATAAACTGGCTGCGCCCACCAGCTGGTCCCCACTCCTACCCGGTCTGCTGGGCTGGGCGCTGGGCTAGCTGAGTCTCGAACACCTCTCTAGGTTGTTTCTCTGCACCCTGGGAGGCTCCCATGGCAGGGGAGGGTCCCCTGGGGAGCCCTGCAAAGTAAAGGCTCCTTGTCACCACTGCCTGGCATGTCACCTACTAAGGGTTCAGGAACACTTTTCTCAAGGAGACATCTGGGCTATGAAAGAACAGTAGATGTTAACAAGGAAAATAAGAAGGGCGCGTATTACACAGAGGAGGAAGTACATACCAAGTCCAGCAAAGAAAGATAGTAATACAGGAAATTCTCAGCAGAAAACTTAGATTTTTAAAAGGATTTTCTCAGTACTGCACTGGGCTAGACCCGGGGGATAGAACAGAGAGGAGAGATGTGACCCCCTGCTGCTATGAAGCTGACACTCTTGGAAAAGACAGATTACCAATGAGAAAGACAGTTACAGGCTGTGGTAAGTGCTCTGAAGGGTTGGGAGCTTTGCTGAGACATGAGGGTGTGAAGCTAGAATGGGGGGTAGGGCTGGAAAAGTCACCAGGCAGGTATAGAAGGGCCACAGCCCCAAGGCTGCCACAGTCACATTCTTGGGGGTCCAGAGGGGTGGCCTGCTTTTGGCCAGGCTCCTCCCCAACAGCCATGCAGAGGAGTGAGCGTGGGGGAGTCTAGTTGCAGCTCATCCTCTGGTGTGGGGATGGAGGAGTGGGCTCCAGGGGACCCACACAGCCTTGCCCTGGAGGAAAGACTGAAGAGGACTCAGGGTGCCTTCAGACCTGGGCTTTGGGTGGGGCAGTCAAGTCTACCCTTGAAGAGAATGGATGCCAGCACCTGACTTCTGGGTTAGTCCTCCCAACACTTACTAGCCGTGTGACTGTGGCCAGGTTAATTTACTTTTTGAAGCTCCTTCTCTTCATGTGTCAGTGGAGATAAGCCACCCGCCTTACAAGATTGTTGGACCATTCTGGGCAAACAATAAGGCCTTAATAATGGTAGCCCTTTATTCATGTCAGCCTCCTGTCTTAATACACACCAACTCCAGGGGCCCCCTTGTGCCCAAAGGGGATGCCACCTACACAGATATTCTGGGGAGAGTGTCCCTGGAGTCATGCCTCCAGAGAGCAAGCCCTAGCAGGTGCCACTGTCCAGAGTTTAGCTGAGGTGTCATGTGGAAAAAATGCCTCCCCACCCCTAATCTGCCACAGTACTGGTGGTGTCTGTGAGATGGGGCTCCCAAAAGCCTTTGCTGTTCTTTCTATCTCAGGAATGTTTACACTACTGCAGAATTAATATTTACCATTTATGGAAGAAACTCAACTTTTTTTTTTT